TCTTAGAATCCTGGCGATTGCAACGGTTTACTTATGAAAAATGTATTCCGCTAACCATTGTGGTGCAGTGCCTCTAGAAGAAAATTACGTGATCTCTCTTCGTGATCTCATATGGCATAGCTTAGTACAGCTGACCAGGACTGGGACTTAAGGCAGTGAACAAACAGTTGGAAGCAGGAATGAAAACTACAAATTTTTGCGTACCGAAATTCCCGCGCAGGCCCTTACCAACGTCGTTTATTTTGTGACCTCGCCGGAGGCTGAAAAAAAGCATTTTGCAATTAGGCAAAACCGCATAAAGAGATCCACAGTTGGGTGTGTGGGTAGCCATTTTTTGTGTGTAAGAAACTTGGGGCTGGACCGTTATTCTTCCCATTCCTGAATGAACCAGGCGGGCGCGGGTTTATCTGTGTTTTGAACGTTCAGAGTGTACACACAACGGGCCTGGTTGACCGTACAGTTGACGGCCGAGGATACAATTTGACATGCTATTTCCATGACGAGCGTGACTGTACTGCAGGCAGAGTCACGTTAAAAACTGATTTAGATGCCCAGTGTGGTCCTTGCATCGGAGCTGCAGATCCATGAAAATGATGACCTTTATCTTTGGGAAAACTCAAGAGCGGATTCTATGGAATTTGAGTAGGCTGGCCACACAAATAGCCAGTAATGTGTTGAATGCGCCTGTGATATCTGATCAGGCAGAGCCTGATCAGATATCTCAGTTCCAACGTTTCGTTATACATATCTGTATATATATATATATATATATATATATATATATATATATATATATTTATACACAGCATAAGTTATAGGTGGATTCTCAACGCTTTTTGTGGTCATCAAATCATAAAGCGGTCAAAAGGTTATTGTACTTATATATTGACGTGAGGCACAAATCCCCCCGTCCCCAAAGTTCCCCCCCCCCCCCCGACCACCAAAATAGTAAACAGCGCCGGTTTATTGCACTTTAACACGTGCTTTGGTGGGGCCAGATTGACTCCCCAGGGGTTTTCCAGAATGGTTTCCGAACGGCGCAGCAGAGCAGCGCCGTTCTTTGACGCCGTTCTTTGGCGCGGCTGTGCCGCTCCAGATTTTGCTTAGCTGTAGACAATGAAATAACAAATCGTTTGGTATTAAACATTTAGATGTATCTTGTGTGGTCGCTGACCTACGGCAGGTCAAATCAGCCCATGGATTCTGCGAAGTCAGTTTCTAGGTAATCGCTTAACCTGATGCAACAACAGAGTGTTAAACAAGACCATCGTCTTTGAGATGCTTTCTTAGGCAACAACAATAAAACGAACAAGTTCAATTGACCTGAGGCCAGTATTGAAGGGCAGGCTAAGGTCAAAACCGCCCGTTTTAAAATTGTGGGGCTTGCTGTATTGGGTAGTTTGTGGTGCTCATTTCGAATTTATTGATAACAGGAACCGCATTATGCATCTTCCATGCACTTCTCAACGGTGAGAATAGGTCACTGACACAAAACAACCTAGGTCACATTTTTTAGGAACGTACTGCCTAGTGTAATCTTTGTGGCTTATTTGGATGCAAAGCTAAAAGCAGTCTTGTTTAATTTTGGTAACCATGACCTTCTCAAGGTCAAAAATAGTCACGGCGATCATAAGTGATCATGTGAATTTTTGCTTAGAACAGTTATCTAGGTTCCGGGCACTTTGGAGACCAAACTGGAGATTGACCTTGCTTGACCTTATTTGATAGGAAGGTCATGATGAAGGAACCTTAAAGTTTGGGTTGAGTGAGTTCAGGTACAGGTTAATACACCCTAAAAATTTGGTGACTCTAGCTTTGTCCGAAAAACGTGGCATATTTCTTCTGTGAAACCCATCTTTGTACTGCTTAGAAGATAAGCATTCTGGCTAAATGAATTGTAAAGCAGTAACAGTGACGCACGTGCTGAATTCTTGTTATACCGTTGTCCACGTTATGCTGTCTCGACGCCAAGCCTTCCACCGGCGTCGAGTTAACACGCGGCCAGCTGGCCAGCTAGATACCCTTCGCTTGGGTGGGGTAAGTCAGCTTGACCCCCCTGAGATCTTGGAAACTAAGAAAGCTAGAGACACCAAATTTACTAGATGTGTTGGCCGCTACGTGAACTCACTTAGGTTAAAGTTCTAAGTTTCAGGTTCGTAGGTTGACCTTATTTGATAGGAAGGTCATGATGGAGGAACCTTAAACTTTGGGTTGAGTGAGTTCAGGTACAGGTTAATACACCCTAAAAATTTGGTGACTCTAGCTTCGTCCGAAAAACGTGGCATATTTCTTCTGTGAAACCCATCTTTGTACTGCTTAGAAGACCTTGTTTGACCTTCGGGTCAAAACAAGTCAATGAAGATCAACTTTCACGTTTGCCCCCAAAGTTCCCTCAGAATTTAGATAACCGTTTCTAAGTAAAAGGTCACGTGCTCATTTAGGCTCAGTGACCTTGTGTGGCCTTTTGAGGATCAAGGCGACCAAAATCAAACAAGATTGCTTTGAGTTTTGCTTTTGACTAAGCGACGAAGATTAGGCTAGGCAGTATGTTTCTAAAACGAAAAGTTGAACTGGGTCATATTAGGTCAATGACCTATTCTGACGTCTGAGAAGTCCATGGATGATGTATAATGCGGTTCCTACCATCAATAAATTCGAAATGAGCACCAGAAACTATTCCATACAGGATGCCCTAGAGAAACAAAACAGTTTGTTTTTGGCCTCGGTGCGACATTCATACCTGACCTAGGGTCAATATAATTTGCCCATTCAACTGTTGTGTTACCTAAGAAAGCATCTCAGAGATGTATGGCTTCGTCCATCACTCTGTTGTTGGCTGAGATTGAAGGATTCCCTAGAAATTACCTTCTCTGAAACCATAGCCGGACTGACCTGCCATAGGTCGGCGACGTTACAAGATACATCAATCAAGATACAAGGATACATCAAGATACAAATAGCAGATCGTTTTGTTGATGCCAAACGATCCGCTATTCAGTGTCTACAGGTACGCAAAATGTGGTGTGGCTACACCGCGCCGTTCGGAAACCATTCTAGAAAACCTTTGGGGGGGGGTCAAGTTGACCCCCACCCGAGAGCGTATTAAAGGACAAAATTTAAGGCGCGTCCGGGTGGAGGTCAATTTCCAGCTCAAAGGTTTTTCCGGAATGGTTTCTGAACGGCGCGGCGTAGCCGTCTCAAATTTTACTCAGTTGTAGACAATTGAATAGCAGATCGTTTGGAATCAAACATTTAGATGCAACCTGCAAGGTCGCTGATCTATGGCAGGTCAAAATCAGACCATGGTTTCAGCGAATGCAATTTCTAGCGATTCAATTTCAGCGAATCCTTCGATCTGATCCAACAACGGAGTGTTAGACAAAGCCATGCATCTCTGAGATGCTTTCTTAGGCAGCACAACAGTTGAATGAGCAAATTAATTTGACCTAAGGTCAGGTATGAAGGTCACACCAAGGTCAAAACCAACCTGTTTTGTTACTCTAGGGCTTGCTGTATGGAATAGTTTCTGGTGCTCATTTATGATTTATTGATAGCAGGAACCGCATTATGCATCTTCCATGAGCTTCTTAGAGGTCAAAATAGATCATTGACCTAAAATGGTCCAGGTCAACATCCTGTTTTAGGAATACTCTGCTTAGCGTATTCTCTGTTGCTTAGTCAAATACAGAACTCAAAGCAATTTTGTATGATTTTGGTCACCTTGACCTTCGAAAGGTCAAAAAAGGTCACTGACCTTGAATGAGCACGTGGCCTTTTGCTTAGAAACGGTTATCTAGGTTCTGGGGGCACTTTGGAGACCAACCTGGAACTTGATCTTTTTTTTACCTTTTGTGACCCGAAAGTCATCATTTAGGAACCTGAAACTTTGACCTAAGTGAGTTCACGTACAGATCAACACACCCTGTAAATTTGATGTCTCTTGCCTTTTTTAGTTCCCGAGATCTCAGGGGATCAAATTGCCCCCCCCCCCCCCCCCTCACCGGAGCGAAGGGTATCTAGCCGGCCACCCGGCCGCGTGTTAAAGAGCCGAAGTACTCTACTTTATGTTTGTCGTCACGAAATCAGCTTCATCCGAGTCAATTACAAAAATGAACCCGCTCTGCTTGTCTCCTAGACTACCTGGAATCCAAACAAGAGTCCATCTAAAGTGTCATTCAGTTGCTGGCAGCGAGAGTCGAAATAAATCCCATGCACTGCGGGCTAAGGCCGGATTGAATTTTTTCTGTCGAAAACTTCGTCCATGTTGCACAGCCAGATAATTACGTCAGCGGGTCAGGTCAATGCTTGATCAGCAGTGTTTCAGAAGAGATGCAGCCCTAACTTTGAAATTTGAGTTGGTTTTCTGCCTCTAGAGTGATAGTGATCTTGCATAGTCAGTGCACAGTCGTTATACATCAGTTCCCAGCACCACATGCTGTTTACCTAATGCTTTTGGCCGCAACGTACCGTTTCGACCAACGTGACTGTCTATGCAACTTCGATCAGTCATTCAACACCGGTATGTTCATGCCTAATTCCCATCATTCAATAAATGTCAAATGTGGTTATATGATGCAATTTTTTATTGCCATATTGCATGAACTCCGCACATATCTACACACAGAATGGGCATGATCTATGAGACAATACCGGACAGTAACGCAGATTACGGGAATCGCGGATCAGGGTCCACTCCACGCGGGTCCCAGGGGTCAATGTCAATAACGCTGCTGCAAGGACACTACACCTGTATGGGATCAGACGTCCAGGAAGTGATGGGATCGTCCTGTTCTACGCGGTGCACTTGTCGAGTACAGACATGATCACACACACTTCAAAGCGACGACATCACTCGTCCGGGAACAGTTGGAACAAGGGACAGACGGGACGGACAGGACACGGCACGATGCAGAGCCACCAGGGACGAGCACGGGGCAGTCGACAGCACAGCCACGAATAATGCCATACAGCGCCATCCGATCAGCTCGGCGGCATCTTATTCGTAAGTGTATCCGAACTTGGCGGGGGAGCTGGCACCGTCCGCCTGCATCACCGTGATGCCGTCAAAGCTGTAGGTCAGGGTGTCGCCGTGGTGGGCCGCCTTGGTCTGGTGGGTGGCACCGCTCGAAGCGGTGTAGACTTTGACGGGGGCAACCGGGGCCGTGATGATGTCAGTGTCGGGGGCAGCGGCAGCGGCGGCAGCGGCGGCATCGTAGGCGGCCTGGAACGCCTGCTTGGCGGCCTTGACCGCGGCGGTGTCCTCCACACGACCCTCGGCGTCCAGGGTGACCACGGGGCCGGCGGGCACGACGGACACAGCCGGGGCCAGGTAGGTGGTGCGAAGGGCGGGAGCGCTGTAGCTGTAGCCGGCAGGGGCGGCGGCCTTCACCACGGGCGCGGGGCCAGTGATGATGTCGGTGTCGGGGGCAGCCTCGGCGGCGGCGGCGGCGGCGTCATAAGCGATCTTGAAGGCCTGCTTGGCGGCAGCAACCTCGGCGGTGTCTGCCACCGGCTTGGGAGGGGTGCTGAGCTCCTCCAGCGTGGCGTAGCGGACCACAGTCACGGGCTGGGGGGCGATAACGGCGGCCGGGGCCGGGGCGCTGTAGACGGGAGGCGCGACATAGATCGCGCTGTTGTCCGGGGCGGCGGCGGCAGCGGCAGCAGCAGACTCGAACGCGCTCTTGAAGGAGGCCTTGGCAGCGGCCACGTCGGCGGTGTCCTTCACGGACACGGGCAGGTGGGCTCCCGAGGCGATGAAGCCGGTCTCGGCGCCCGCCTTGTAATCCACGCGCCGGCGCTGGGCGTCGTCAGCGACGAACTCGAAGTTGCCCTGAACGTTGTTGGCGCTGTCGGCCGACTCGTGGCGGGCGCTGTCGCTGGTGCTGTACGAGAACTCGTACGATCCGTCGGTGTTGGAGGTCGAGCGGAAGTCGGCGATCTCGGCCGGCTGCGAGGCGGTGTAGGTGGTGGTGACAACGGCCTGAGGGGCAGGAGCCAAGTACGTCTGCGACACGGGAACGACCACCGGGGCCGAGTACGTGATGGGATCATCGGCGGCGGCCTCGGCGGCGGCGGCGGCAGACTCGAACGCGCTCTTGAAGGAGGCCTTGGCGGCGGCCACGTCGGCGGTGTCCTTTACGGACACGGGCAGGTGGGCTCCTGTGGCGATGAAGCCGGTCTCGGCGCCCGCCTTGTAATCCACGCGCCGGCGCTGGGCGTCGTCAGCAACGAACTCGAAGTTGCCCTGGACGTTGTTGGCACTGTCGGCCGACTCGTGACGGGAGCTATCGCTGGTCTCGTACGAGAACTGGTACGACCCGTCCTCGCTCTGAGAGGCGCGCACGTGGGCGACCTCCACGGGCTTGGTGCTCTGGACGTAGGTGGCGGCCGGCTGGACAAGCTGGGAGGTCTGCACCCGGGTGACGGCCGGCGCGATGTACAGGCCGGACGGCTGCTCGACCGAGGCCGTGATGATGTTGGTGTCGGGGGCGGCATCGGCGGCGGCGGCGGCGGCGTCATAGGCGGCCTGGAACGCCTGCTTGGCGGCCTTGACCGCGGCGGTGTCCTCCACACGACCCTCGGCGTCCAGGGTGACCACGGGGCCGGCGGGCACGACGGACACAGCCGGGGCCAGGTAGGTGGCGCGAAGGGCAGGAGTGTTGTAGCTGTAGCCGGCAGGGGCGGCGGCCTTCACCACGGGCGCGGGGCCAGTGATGATGTCGGTGTCGGGGGCAGCCTCGGCGGCGGCGGCGGCGGCGTCATAAGCGGCCTCGAAGGCCTTCTTAGCGGCAGCAACCTCGGCGGTGTCTGCCACCGGCTTGGGAGGGGTGCTGAGCTCCTCCAGCGTGGCGAACCGGACAGCGGCAGCGTTGGTGTGCGCCTGAGTGTACGTCCTGGTGGCAGCGCCAGCCGTCGGTTTCTTGAGTGAGGTCACCACGAAGCCGTCGACGCCTGCGGTGTACTCGGTCTTGCCGCCATCGGCGCCGAACTCACCGCGCACCTCGTTGGCCGGGCTACCCTCCTGCACCTGGAAGAGGCCCTCCGCGCTGTCGAAGCCGTACTTGTAGGCGCCGTCGCTCTGCTGCGTGTAGAACTGGGCACGCCGTCCTTGATTGACGAGCGGCAGCTTCCAGCTCTGGCAGCCAGCGACCAGGAGCGCCAGTACAACCTGAGAACAGACGGCAGAGTCATCAGCCTTCGATGTGAGCTTAGAACCACAGGCAACCGACGCAGCTTCTTGTTCATCCTGAATTTTAGCACGACCACTGGCACTGGCCTTCGCTAAAACGCTGACACCGGCGAACGCATCTTTCCCCAACAGAACGAAATGTTATGCTGCTCAGTTAAAAACTGGGGCAGCACTCTGACTTCAAGGCATGTATTTATACAATGCCTTTGAGGACTGATGTTGTAATATGCCATTACGCCTCCTTATCTTGTGTTTTCGAGGACACTTTCAAAAGCATTGTACAGCAGTGGCACATTTTCTGACAAACAAACCGGTGGACTATTGAAACAATCCGTCATACTTTGATTAATACAGTAAAATTCAAACCTACCAGGCAGTGGTTGACATATATGTGATGAGCACCCAGCTCGGTGTGTTTATCCTAACATCAGTACAAACAGCAGGGAAGGGTCAGGCCGACTCCAATGGCAAGATGCCATGGAAAGTGGAATAAAAAAGTTCGAACTTATCAAGACAGCCCTCTTAAGTTCAACAGCTGATTTACATGATGCACAACATTTTAATACCCAAGCACGCAAATGTCACTGAAGTAACAGCCCAGAGAGGTACTAAATATTTTCACATGGTACAAAATTAAAGAGAGCTGAAACGCAAGCAATGGGCGGAGATCACTGGAACCGTCTTCCGACGGTATCAGCAGCCCGGCGAGCTGTTGGCTGCCCGGCAGCACAGTATCGCCGCCCGTCGTCACTCACCAGACGTGCGGACGCCATCGTGTGACTAGTGTGTGATGCCGAGGTGCGCCCGGCGCCGCTTATATAGCGCGCGGCCCGGCGCCGTGCCCCGCGGCGCCGTGCCGAGGAGTATTCCTCCCTGTCAAGGACGGTTAGTGGAGCGGCGGACCGGACCGGCCGGACGGTGCCTCGCTGCACCAGTTACCAGGCCGCGCGCTGGGGGCGACACGTGACCACTCGAACTCCCTCCACAGACGGCGCCGGGACGTGACGGTCGGACTCCGGCGTCGAGGATAGGAAGGGGCCGGCTAAGGGGGCTCGGGGGCTCTGCAGGGAGGCGCTTCATGTCTTTTGGGGCTGTGTTGTCTTTTCCTTGCCGTTCCCACGTAAGCTTATTTTAGCAGAACGGAGTGTCGATGTGGCGACGTGCCCAGTCCTCTCCCTGTCAGTCATCATAGTAGATATTCAAGAACAGCACAAATGGCGTATTATTGCACGCATCGCTTGGCATAACTGCCTTGCGGGTGCGGTTGGAGGAGACGATATAACTAATATAATTACCATGATGGGCCTGGTAAGCGACTCCACGAACTGCAGTGAATGCGATGGAACAATAGAGCTATAATGAGGTGAGCTCGAATAAACACAAGGCCGTCCCTGTGACAGTTAATGCACTAATTGGTATGCACCTGCGAAACAAACCCTCCTTCAGGATGTATGCCCCGATGGACTGGTGCACTCATAACATACATAGGAGCACCAAACCTCGACATGAACTACCGATCAGTTTACTGCTAGGCAGTATGATAGACAGACTTTTGACTCACACATTGACTTTCGGAATTTGACTTCGGAAATTATTCCATTCTAAGTCCTGCCCTGATCCACCGTTTTCCATAACGCGGACTGTTGGGGGGGGGGGGGGGGGAGGGGAGGGAACACGGTGCTACCGATGTGCTAAACCAATGTAGTACCAGTGCCTTCGGAATCTTCACGAATATCTCGACCCACTGGCTTCCACCAACCTTTCTTCTCGGGCCACACTCTAAACTGTTGTGGGCATAACACCGCTTGTCTGTGTGTGTGTGTGTGTGTGTGTGTGTGTGTGTGTGTGTGTGTGTGTGTGTGTGTGTGTGTGTGTGTGTGTGTGTGTGTGTGCCAGGAAATGGCCTGGGGCGATGTACCGATCATTATAGAAATACCTTGTCCATCTAAGCTTTATTTGCTTTGACCTTTTGGTTTCCCCGTCTTCGTGCATGTCCTTTTGCCCACCGTGAATTTTTTTTTTAAAAAAAGTAACAGATTACGAAACAACAAGTGCAAATTTTGGGTTGATCATTAATGTGTGAAATGTAGCTTATTGCATGCTGGCATGTGTGACAAACCTGGTTTGGCTTGAAAATGCTAACCTTTGTATTTTTAACGGTTCTGTAATTTTTTCCATTTTATTTGTGATGAACAGATGCGCTATTTTTATACGTTGCTCCTTGAGACTTCCGGTGTCTTTGTAAACCTGGGGCAGTAGCTTGTACGATGGCAGTTTAGCTTATTGCAAATATAGCTATGCGACGTAATGGACCTGCGTGAGTAAACCGGCTTTTGCTATGCCAGATTACAACTATTTCCTTCTTAAACTGGCGGAGTTTTGGATGACGTCGCAGAACAAATATGAGCGACAAGACAAAGAATTTAAAAATGATCTTACCGCAAATTCTGAAGACTAGAAAATAAAAATGTTTTTCATAGCTACTGGCCGCGGGGTCTTTGATCCGTGCGTGTGCATGAGTGCAACACCGTCACTAGTTAATGCGAGCCTTTGTTCATATAGCTGACAAGAAAGAGCTACCGATGTGCCTCGAAGGCCGCATGATGTGTTGGTGGAACTCATCATTTTGTGGCTTTGTAAGCTGCTAGATGCTTCTCCCGCTTGAATAAAGTAATTTCAATTGGCGTATTTTTAACGTGGTGAAAATAAAGCAACAAATCTACCTCGATTACTTCGTCCGAAAGCAGACTCATCCTCATAAAAACATGATAATTACTTCATATCTCCTTAGGCTCGACCAAGCAAATAGCTTGCCGTCGGGAAATGCAATCCGATGGGCTGAATTACTTCCAAAAATAATATATAAATAGCAATTGCTGCGTGCTTCTTCGATATATTACCAAACACCACATGCCTTGGCCATAATTCAATCAAAAAGATGCCTTACGCTTTGCGCAACCTGTCATGATGCTATTCATCTGTCCCGGAACTTGACTCACCCACGCATTGCGTCAGAAGTCGCCTTAATTCTCCAAATTCGTTGGTTTAGCGCGCGTTTCACATCTATTTTGACTTTATTTCCGCCACTAGTGTGGGATTGCCTACCATTTGCCGTCTTCAAATCTTCTCTCTGTGGCAAATATTGATTATACTACGCTAAGCGTAGGATTATCTTGACGTCCAGCAGCGTGCAACTACAACGAAGAAGTCCGTTACTAAACTAATTGGTGTTCCCTTGCCGTCATTTTTAACCGACTCCATGGACCGCCATGCAACGTAGAGTTCTAGCGACTGTAATGTCTGTTATGAATAATTACACGCCTCGCATATTTTAAGCATCAGTTACCGCAGTGCTCGGAGGAATTTCCCCGCGACTGTCTGGCATTTCCGAAACCATTCGTCCCACCCCCTCAAGACCACCTCCGGGTCCTGTAACTGTCCAAATCCGTTACCATCCCCGTGCTAGTCCAGCGTCCTTGAAATTACGTTGGACTTATCGATGCTTGTCTTCCTCTATCGCGATGCAGAGCTCTGGAGCAGAGAAAGGTCTACCGCGTCCATCCATGTCCGAGGCAAAGCGGCCCCTGCGAGTAGCAATGTAGACTGCACCGCCGAACGCCATACTGCAACACGACATGCGGCGCTCCAGCGTCGCGGTCCGCCGCCGGAGGACGCTTCTCAGTCAAGTGGCCAGATGCATGCAAGCAAAAACAGGGCTCTTGCAGTGTGCCACTCCCGTCTTTCGTCACTAATTTCCAAAGCATTTCTCCAAACGCCGCTCTTTCAGAGATTTAGGAGAACCGTGGAGGCATGGTCTCCATCGCGGCCATCTTTGTCGAGAGACAATACCCTGTTCGCAGTGATGACATCCTTCCTCCCCATGGACGAACTGCCGCTGGCGAAGTGTGAGTCATAAGCGAAGAGCTGAGATCCTGACGCTGCAGGTAATGAGCACACTGCACAATTTGCTCTCAGCTCTCTGCACCTCCGGGCGGACATGACATGGCATGTATTGTTCGGGTCATTATGCACTTGCGTGGTGCGCAGAGGTAAGCAGATCTGCTGATTGTGCAGAAATTGCCAGATTGACTACCGGTTAGAAAAAAATTTGTTGAGGAACAGAACTCTGCCAGTCAGGATTTAAGCTGAGAAGATCAACCGAGTGTTACTCTCAGAGCTAAACCGCCTGAGGCTCCGTTTTTCGGCGACAGTTAGAACGCTCCATCCGGCAAAAAAGCTTTTGGGCACTGGATGGCTTCCTCCTTAAGGTCTGTTAACATCTAGCAAAGCTCAGGGGCCTGGTCTCCATTGTGGTCATTGTTGTGTGTGGGATCTCTGTGGTCACCTCTGTACTCATAATGATAAAAACCGTACCGGAAAAGTTGTGGTGGGTGAAGGCTCACATCGTGCTCTAACATCAAAACCATCTCTGTCCTGTCTGGCCTCTGACCCGGCGTTGACTGACCGTGGTCGGTCAGTTGGACCCATGCAGCGGTCGCGGAACTTCAGAAGTTGGCTCAATGGCGTGCGCGGCCCATGACACGCGCCCGGGTGGCCTCTGGGATACCCCTCGCTCGGGTGCAGGTCAAGTTGACCCCCTGAGATCTCAGGAACTAAGGGGACTAAAGACACCAAATTGACACCAAATTGACACCAAACTGACAGGATGTGTTAACCTGCGCGTAAACTAATTTAGGTCAAAGTTGAGGTTCCTAGGTCATGACCTTCAGGGCAAATAAAGTCAAGCAAGGCAAAGTTCCAGGGTGGTCTCCTAAGGACCCCTAGAACCTAGATAACTGCTTTAAGTAAAAGGTCACACGCCCATCCGAAGTCAGCGACCTTGTTCGGCTTTTTGAAGGTCACGGTGGCCTTAATCAAGCGACAAAGATTACGCTAGGCAGTATGTTACAAAACACACAATGTTGACCTGGGCTATTCTAGATTAATGACTTATTCTGACCTTCGAAAAATCTATGGAAGGTGTATAATGCGGTTCCTGTTATCAACAGATTCGAAATGAACACCAGGAACTACCCCATACAGCAAGCGCTACAGTAATAAACAGACTGGTTTTGACCTTGGTCTGACCTTCACGCCTCACCTTAGGTTAACATAATTTGTTCATTCAATTGTTGTGTTGCCTAAGAAAGTATCTCGGGGATATATGGCTTCATCTAACACTCCGTTGTTGGATCAGATTGGACGAATCCCTAGAAATTGCCTTCGCTGAAACCATGGTCTGACTTTGACCCGCCATAGGTCAGCGACCTTACAAGGTACATCTAAATTGGTGATGCCAAACAATTTGCTATTAAGTCGTCTATAGCTATGCAAAATTTAGCGCGCCTACGCCGTGCCGTCCGGAAAAACATTCTGGAAAAACCTTCGGGGGGTCAATTTGGCCCCCACCCGAGCACGTGTTAGCTGTCTAAAGGGCATCAGAAAATAATTCATGTCGCGACTTCTGTACCGCTGCAGCTACAAGAAAAACTCTGGACACCTAAGAACCAGTGAAATAAATAATTCATTTCGAGCAACTACCATTATATTCATTATTATATTACATTTCTACGCGTGGGAATCAGGCTCTCCACTGGAATCACCGACATTAATGCAGAATGCATTTCAAAAACTGTCAGGCCAGGTGTAACCTGTGGTTCAGCCGGGGCCATAAGTCCAGTCAATAAATCTTGATGATGAAAATGAGAAAATTGTGCGAAATGTCCGCTGTAAACATTAGAGCCATACCAGGTAGTTCGCTCCAAAGTTGTCACCGAAACGGGGAA